TGCTGTTGAGCAAACACTAGCTAAAGCAAATGGAAGAAATGACAAGATAAAAGAGCTGAACAGAAAATTTCAAAGAGCAGCTCGAGCAGACAAAGCCAATTACTATAATGAAATGTGCAAAGACCTGGAGTTATAAAACCAAAAGGCAAGAACATGCTTGACATTTCTTAAGCTGAAAGAACTGAAGAAAAAAATTTAAGCCTTGGGTTGCAATATTGAAAGATTCTAGGAGCAAAATATTGAACGATACAGGAAGTATCAAAAGAAGATGGAAGGAATACAGAATCACTGTACCAAAAAAAAACTGGTTGATCTTCATCCATTTCACAAGGTGGCATATGATCAAGAACCCAATGGTACTGTGAAGGAAGAATTCAGAGTTGCACTGAAAGAACTGGTGAAGAACAAGGCTCCAGGAATTGATGGAATACCCACTGAGATGTTTCAACAAATGGATGCCCCGCTAGAAGCACTCACTTGGTTATGGCAAAAGGTTTAGAAGACGGCTACCTGGCCAACTGACTGAAAGAGATGCATATTTGTACCCATTCCAAAGACAGGTGATCCACAGTGTGGAAATTATCAAACAATATCATTAATATCACATGTAAGTAAAATCTTACCGAAGAAAATTCAAAAATGGTTGCTGCAGTATATTGACAGAACTTCCAGAGGTGCAGGCTGGATTCAGAAGAGCTCATGGAATGAGGGATATCATTGCTGATGTCAGATGGATCTTGGCTCAAAGCAAAGAATATCAGAAAGGTGTTTACCTGTGTTTTATTGGCTATGCAAAGGCATTTGATTGTGTGGATTATAACAAATTGTGGATAACATTGAGAAGAATGGGAATTCCAGAACACTTAATTATACTCATGAGGAACCTGTACATAGACCAGGAGGCTATCGTTTGAACACAAAAAGGGAACACTGCATGGTTTAAAATCAAGAAGGGAGTGTGTCAGGGTTGTATTCTTTCACCATACTTATTCAATCTGTATGCTGAGCAAATAATCCATGAAGCTGGACTATATGAAAAGGAACATAGCATCAGGATTGGAGGAAGAATCATTAACAACGTGTGATACGCTGACAACATAACTTTGCTTGCTGAAAGTGAGGATGACTTGAAGTACTTACTGATGAAGATTGAAGAATACAGTCTGCAGTATGGATTACATCTGAATATAAAGAAAACAAAAAATCCTCACAACTGGACCTATAAGCAGTGTTATGATAAATGGAGAAAAGATTGAAATTGTCAAAGACTTCACATTGCTTGGTTCTACAGTCGATGCCAATGGAAGCAGCAGTCAGGACATCAGATGACAGTCGGCTGCAAAGGACCTCTTTCAAGTGCTGAAGAGCTAAGATGTCTCCTTGAGGACTAAGGTGCAACTGACACATGCCATGGTATTTTCAGTCCCCTCATATGCATGTGAGAGCTGGACAATGAATAAGGGAGACCGAAGAAGAATTGATGCTTTTGAGCTGTGGTGTTGATGAAGAATGCTGACAGTGCTGTGGACTGCTAAAAGAACTAACAGGTCTGTCCTGGAGGAAGTGCAGCCAGAATGCTCCTTGGAGGTGAGAATGGCCAGACTTCGTCTCACCTACTTTGGTCATGTTGTCAGAAGGGACCATTCCCTGGAGAAGGATGTCATGCTTGGTAAGGTGGAGGGTCAACAAAAGAGGGGAAGGTCCTCAATAAGATGGATTGACATGGTGGCAGTGGCGATTGGCTTAGGTATAGCAAGAATCATGGAACTGGCTCAAGACCAGGCGGTGTTTCATTCTGCTGTGCATAGGGTCACTATGAGTTGGACATGACTCGAAACGTAACAACAACAACAAAGGGGCATACATCATACAAGAGCCTTTCATTTGGAAGTGGTGAACACCCAAATCAAACTGGCAGAAAAGGATTATTGGCAAAGTTGGGTTTAGTATTCATGTAGTATCAGTTGGTTATTCTTTGTTAGCTTTCTTTCTCCATCTCCTGTATTGGTATCAGTCCCAGGCAGGGTCTCTTCGTGGGCAGCTCCATGCTTACATGGTCCATTGGACCTAAAATCCTAGAAAAGAACAAGTCTTAAAGAGGGCTTTGATTGGCTTGGGTGGGTTACTGTGTCCATAAATGAGAAGGGCCCAACCATTCACTATAGTGTAGAGAATTGAGTACTTTGAGCAAGCTAAGTGACAGCTGCACCAGGAAGTAGGAACCAAAGGAAGAGCACTTACGGAGTATTTCTCTATTGTGTGTGTGTGTAAGTTTTGATATAGTATGTGATCTGTGAAGCATCACACTGAACTGTGAATATGTTTTTGTATAATCAGTCAATCATCAGATACTTACTGAGTGCCCACTAAGCACAAGCACTGAACTAGGTCCTAGGGAATGTGGTGATGAATGAAATAGGTAACTGGTCTCATGGAGCTTATACTCTTGTCAGAGAAGTTAGATGCCAAATAAGTGTGATGAATGCTGCAAAGGAGAAACCTAAAGTCCTGTGGGACTGTGGATCTGGGTGGGAGAGCACAGGCAACCTAGAGGCAGAGTGAAGCTGGTTGTCTTAGAGAGCACTGATGTGTCCTGTTGATATCTAAATGTACACTACATGACCCTCAAACTTGCATTTTACCAGCTTTACCACCCAGGGCCATTGAGCATGGCCATGGAAAATGGGTCATAAAAACAGTTAAAACACAGCAGTCTAGTAATGAGGCTAAAGGGATGGTCTTACCAGTTATTTTTAGAAAAATTTAAGACCCTATCTTGGTATAAAAGAAGTGGTGACACAGTGGTTAAGTGCTAATAAGCTTGGCTACTGTGGTGGTTATGTTGTGAGTCAACTTGGCTGGGCCTGGTTGAGTGGCTGTGCAGCTGGTGGTAGTTATTTCTCATGATGAGACTGGCAGTCAGCTCTATGGTGGGATCTACCACAAACAGCTGAGTAGTTAGCCTTTGGGATGTGGTCAGCTTCCTGTATATAAGGAGAAGCCTTGGGAATGGTCTCTAGCCTGTGGAGCGCATGAACCCTGCATGTAGCCGTGTCGTTGCTCAGCAGCCTGCTATACTCTGCCCATCTTAGGACTTACAATGGACTTAAGTTAATGGCCTGCCATATGGTTTGGTAACATCAGGACTGTGCCTTTTTACCTGTCAACCTTGGGGCTTCTCAGCCTCAGCAGCCAGCAGCTGTCTGAGTGAGGAAACGCCTCTAGCTCCAGTAGGCTGGGAGCAGGAGGCAGAGCTGGACCCCAAGGTTGAGGGGCTTTCACCTAGCTCCTAGAGCCTGGCACTTTGAACTTGGACTTAAAGCCTCCAAATTGTAGGCATGAACTCCTGTTTGTTAAGGCCATCCCATTGTGGTATATTTCTGTCAGAGCGGCGCTAGGTAACCAGAACAGCTACTAAATGAAATGTTGGCAATTTGAACCCACCAGCTGCTGCAGGTAAAAGATGTGGCAGTCTGCCTCCATAAAGATTCCATGAAGATCTACAGTCTTGAAACCCTATGGGGTTTCTGCTCAGTCCTGTAGTGTCACTATGAGTTGGAATTGGCTAGACGGCAACAGGTGTTTATCTTGGTATACTGGTCTGGCCTACAAGATCTGAGGAAATTCATTTGACCTTATGAATTAGCATCACAGAAGTAAGTGATAGAATACTTTGGCCTAAAAGTAAAGTATGTCCTCCATCTTATGCACATTTTTAAATAATTTTAAAAATAATACACATTTTAAAATAATGATCTCATAGACAGTCTTCTAGGACCTTAGTAGCCCACATTCTATGATAAATGTTGTTATGTGCTGTCAAGTCAGTTTTAACTCATAGCGACCTTTTGTATAACAGAACGAAATGTTGACCTGTCTTGCACCATCCTCACAGTCGTTGCTATTATTGAGCCCGTTGTTGCAGCCACTGTGCCAGTCCATCTTACTGAGGATCTTCTTCCTTTTTTTTGCTGACCTACTTTAGGCATATAATCAGGAGAGGGGAGAGAACCAATTACATTCTTCAACCTTTACACCCAGTTTGGTGACATTTTTCCTTAGGAATTCCAACTGATGATCTGATCTTGTGAGATATTGGCCACTTAGGCTGATTACCCCAAAAGTAGTTCTCAGGTAGACACAGGTGCATTTGGGCACCAAAGGTATCCATCTCCTGTAGCAACTACTCCCAATTCTAGCAAATACCATGATGATTTAATTCATAAGAATATGATTTTAAAATAGTCTAAGAAGAAATACAAGTCCCTGGGTGGTGCATATGGTTCAGTGCTAAACTACTAATGCAAAGACTGGCAATTCAAACCCACCCAGGGCATATTGGAAGCAGGGCCTGGTGATCTGCTTTCTAAACATCACAGCCTTCAAAACCCTACGGAACAATTCTTGCTGCACACAGTGAGGTTGTCATGAGTCAGAATCAGCTTGTTGGCAACTAATAACAACAATAAGAAGAAGAAATCCAGGCTGTCACTGTCAGCCTATTTATTTCCAAAGGGAGTATTGAAAAGAACAAAATGCACTATTCAAAGGAACATATGGGAAGGACAGGTCAACTTGGGGAGAGGCTTTGGGGGCCCTGATGGAAGGCCTTTGTCTGTAGAATAAGGTACCTAGAATTTGGCTGACTTCATTTCATGTGAGGGAGCCCTTTGTTTAGCCCCACTTAGTAACTTCCTACATACATTGTAGAAATAAGGCATAGGATGGTGAAGAATCCTGAATTATTTTCTCTTTTTGTAGGCATTGGTTTTAGGTTCATAATGATTTTGCTTTCATATCTGTTAATGTGAATGGGATAATTTTACCCAACTAGAATGGATGCAGGGTTACAAGTTGTATCTTAAAGACATCCTGAAATATAGTGGTTGAGTCAAAAATAATTTCTAGATAGACAGCTGGTCTCAAAAGAAGTTTGAAAATTCATTTTTATTTATTAAAACATTTTCTAACCTTTTGTGTTTCTTCTTCATTGACTGCAGTTGACTTGGATGCCATTCCAAACATTAAAATACGAGACCACAGCATGGTAAGAAACCAATTTTCATTTTGCAAGTTAGCTTTAAAGTGATACAGTTTTTTAGGAACATAAGTAAGAATTCCATGGTAGGATTCTTCAGGAATATTGAGTTAAAGAATTTAAATCTTAGTGTGGTGGGTATCCAGAGAACTCTTAGTCTAACATGTAGAGAAACTATAATGTAATGGCAAAGAACTCTCCTAGTTTGAGTCTTGGCTCTGCCTCTTTCTGATGTATGACTTAGGTCAAGTTATTTAATCTTCCTGTGCCTGAGTTTCATAGTGTGTAAAATGGGCATAACACTACATACCTCAGAGATTGGTTATAAGGATTAAATTAATTAATACTTGCAAAGCATTTAGGACAGGCCTAGTATATAGTAAGTGCTATACAAATGTTTGATTAATAAATAAAAATAGCTCAAGGGCTGTTGTGAGGATTACAGGACATATTAAAAGCTCTTGGAATAAGGCCTGGCCCATATATGTGTTTATTGTCATTATTGTTAGCAGTAGTAGTAGTTGTTGCTGTTGTTAGGTGCCATCGAGTAGATTTTTACTCATACCATGTGACAGTAGAACTGTCCCATAAGTTTCTTTAGGATGTATTCTTTATAGGGACAGATAGCCATGTCTTTTTCCTGCAGAGCTGCTGGGTGGGTTCAGACCACCAGCCTTTCAGTTAGCAGATGAGTGCTTAACCACTGTACTACCAGAGCACCTTAGTGGTAGAAGTAGGACTCTGTAATGTAAGTAGTGGTGAGGCCTGTGAAGAAAACAAGCAAGGTAAGGTTAACCTTGCCACCCTTACCCTGAGCAGGTGACATTTGTGCGGAGATTAAATAAAGGGAACAGATGAGCCATTTTCTTTCAGTGGATATTCAGTGAATGCTTACTGTGTGCCGGATACGTGCTACTGCTGGGGATACAGGAGTGAACAAAAGGGACAGACCCCTGCCTTGAAGACTTTCATTCTGGTAGGAGGGACAGACAATAAACAAATGAAGATTACAGAGTTATTACATTATGAAGCTATGGGGAAAGTGGTAGCAGGGAAAGGTTATTACATACCGAAATAGAGTGGACAGGGAAGACCTCACTGAGAAAGTAACATCCGAATAAGGAAATCAGGGTACTGGTCATTCAGAAATATCTGGGGTAAGGGTGTAGATAGCTGGAGGAAGAACAGTTCAGGTAGAAGCCCTGGCAGGAGTTAACTGGGTTCATCCAAGGAGCAGTGAGAAAACCAGGGTGGAGGGACATGATCAAGGCTAGGCAATAGGAAATGGGGTATGAGAGGAACAGTTGGCAGCAGAGCCTTAGAGGCCATTATAGGCCTTTGTTTTTCACTCTGTGAATGTGCTGAGAACCTTTCAAAGTTTCAAAACAGGAGCAATATAATTTGTTTTATGTTTTAATATAATCACTAGCTACTGTTTGTTGAGATTAGATTGAGGGATGATAGGAGGCTATTGCAATCATCCAGGTAAGAGAGGAGGTGGTTTGGAGTAGTGTGGTAGCAGAAGTGGTGAGAAGTGAGTGGATTTATTTTGAAAGAAAACCTAATGGAACTTTTGATGTACTGGATGGTGGGGTATGAGAGGAGGCAAAGATGGACTCTGGGGTCTTTGGAGAAGCAGGAGAAACACCTTTAGCAGTTGGGGAGATTAGGAACTTAGTTTCAGACAAGTTTGAGATGCTTATTAGACCAACAGTTGGAGCTGGTGAGTAAACACATATGAGACAGTTCAGGGAGAGAAAAAGTTTAGTCTTCACAAGGTTCTTGGGTTTGAATTGATCATGATGGTGATCACTATGTTGCTGATTGTTGTTGTTAGTTGCCATTGAATCAGTTTTGACTCTTGACGACTCCATGTGTACAGAGTAGAACTGCTCCATAGAGTCTTTATGGCTGTGACTTTTGACTTTAGGAAGCAGATCACCAGGACTGTCTTCTGAGTCCCCTCTAGGTTTCTCCATAAGTGACAGTGATATTCTCAGGGAAAACATACTGAAATCTAATAAGAGAAATATAGCATCTTGGATTAGAATATTGGATTAATAATAGATTTGATGTCCTTTCATCATACTTACTCAATGTGTATGCTGAGAGAATAATTTGAGAAGTCACACTGCATGAGAGGAACACAGCATCAGGATTGGAGGAAGACTCATTAACAACCTGTGATATGCAGGTGATACAACCTTGCCTGCTGAAAGTGAAGAGAATTTGAGGCACTTGTTAATGAAGACCAAAGACTGCAGCCTTCAGTATGGATTATATCTCAACATAAAAAAACCCTAAAATCCTCATAGCTGGACCAATAAGAAACATCATGATAAAAAGATTGAAGTAGTCAAAGATTTCATTTTACTTAGATCCACAATAAACACCCATGAAGGCGGCCGTCAATAAATGAAATGACATATTGCATTGGTCACATCTGCTGCAAAAGACCTGTTTAAAGTGTTAAAAAGCAAAGATGTCACTGTGAGGACTAAAGTGACCCTGTTCGAAGCCATGGTATTTTCAATCACCTGCTATGCATGAGAAAGCTAGACAATGAAAAGTAAGACTGAAGAAGAATTAATTCCTTTGAATTATGGTGTTGGCGTAGAATATTGATTGGATTGCTGAATAAGCAGCAAATCTGTCTTGGAAGAAGTCCAGCCAGAATGCTCCTTGGAAGGGAGGCCGGCAAGACTTCGTCTCAAGTACTTCAGACCTGTTATTAGGAAGAAGCAGTTCATGGAGACGGACCTCATGCTTGGTAAAGTAGTGGGTCAGGAAAATGAAGACTCTAAAGGAGATGGATTCACACAACAGCTGCAACAATGGCTCGAACGTAAAGCAGGGCAATGAATTACTTAATATGGCTCTTCCAAGCATGGTTTTTGTGACTCCTACCAGATGACTGGGTGGAGCTATGTAAATGTGAGGTGCTTGTGGCCAACCCAAGGGACTGGGTAGCTTGTTAATAATGTAAATTAAGTTACATGGCACCCTTGTGGGAGGTGGGACCGTGGAAATAAAATGTATGGAACTTCAATGTGGGGATTGGTCAATTTTGCCGTCCTGCTAGGCTTAAGATGTGCCATCCCAGAGTAGGAAAAAGGGGATCTCACTGCCAGCAAAACAGAAGAAGGAGTGTAGTGTGTCCTTGGACCCGAAATCCTTGTACTGAGATGGCAGAGAGACAGCCACAGCAGAACCAGCAAAACCAAGAGACCAGCACAAGACAGAGAAGGCGTCTTGCCAGCCCCAGAGAGCGAGAAAGCTGAGTTCTTTTGGGTAGGGGGCTTACTGGTGGAGTGGTGTGTACCTATCAGCAGAACTTAAAGAGTTTTGTAACACTTGCCCAAGCAGGACAGAGGCCAGGCCAAGAGGCCAAGGGCCAAAGAGAGGCATCCCTGAGCACATGACCCAGATGAGACTGTCCTGATCGAAGAATTGTATCCTCAGCATTCCTGAACCCGAATTTTAACCTGTTACTTCCCTAATAAACTCCGTAATTATGAATATTGTGTGTCAGTTCTATGTGGCCATTGCAGCGAATTATTGAACCCAGCGGAGATGTAGCTAGTGCCAAGGAGGTATGGTTGGTGTCAGAACTGGTAAAAAGGTTGGAGGGTGGCAACATGTCTGACTTCCACCTCATAGGAATGAAACTTGGCCTGTTGATGTCGAGCTCGATTCTCTCTGACCTTCCTGAAGTTAGAGATCAGAAGATGCCATCCCCATACCCTTTTTGCACATAGCAACTTCTGTCGGGATGGCACAGGACTGGGCAGAGTTTTGTTCTGTTGTATGTAGCATAGTTCTGAGTGGGAACTGACTGGACGGCATGTAACAACAACGTTCAATTGAGTTCATACTCTTATTATATCTTTATTAGCAATAACGTGAGCCCATTTCTTTTTTCTTTTTTCTTTTTGGCTTCAAGCACAAGGGGCGGGACAGAGTGGTGTAGCAGTCAGCTTGCCAGAACCTCTTTTGTCTTCACTCTCTTTGTTGTATGGAGTCTTTCCTGCATTTTCTGGGAATTGGCCTGCAGAGTAGGAGGCAAGCAGCCTCCTCATCCTCTTTTGCTTTTCTTGGGGGACAGTGTGGAAACTTGTGCCTCTTACTGCTCAAAATGTGTTGGTTTTTTTTTTTTTTTTCTCTCACAGAGCTAATAAAAATAGTCATGAATATATGATGTTTCTTTTAGCCTAGAGATGACCCTCCTGATTTCTTGAAAAATTCATTATTGGAATCTGACAGTGCTTTTATTGGTGAGTATATTTTAATGTATAGATGCTGTTTATTTAAATATTAAACAATATATATCTTTTAAGTGCCTTTTTTTGTATTGCAAAATCCATACTACACTCTTTGTTGTGCAAACTGGTAAAAACGAGAAGATTCTTTCTAATTACCTGTTTTCATGAATCATTATCAAATATATATTACAAAGTTATTTTCAAAGTCAGAATAACTAAAAAGAGTTTTAAAAGTTGAAAGTAGTTCACACAAAACCTGTACACAAATGTTCATAGCACCTGTATTTATAACAGCCCCAAACTGGAGTCAGACTAGATGTCCTTCCCCAGGTAAATGGGTATGTTCATGCCATGGAATACTACTTAGCAATAAAAAGGAACAAATTATTGATACATACCATCACTTGGATGACTCTCCAGGGAAATATGCTGAGCAAAGGAACCCAATCCCTAAAACGTTATGTACTGTGTAATTCCCTTTATATATAGACTCACAAATACTAATTACCACAATATTATAGCTAAAGCACCAGAAAATTTGACAAAATCAGCAGTATTTTTTTTTTTTTTTAAAGTACCACCAGCCACAAAAACAACAGTGCATGCTTATAGCCTGTGTAGATGAAACCACATGATTTAAAGTGTTATTTGTAATTGGGTAATAATGACAACTCTGACCAGAGTGCATTAGAAGGTTCAAAGAGTAAATTAGCACAAGTTCTAGCTTTGTAAATGTATTGGTACATACAAACTTATGAAAAATGTTTTTGTTGTTATAACTAACTACAGGGATATTTTCATTAAAAAGTAATAAATTTCTGCTGAATAATCACACACAAATTTTATAGACAGTCATTTTGGTGTCACCTCCTTTGACAATGTCTCCCACTTTTATTTTCACATCCCCTGAATCCCCCAAGTGATGCCATTTGTTTGGGGTCCTCAAGATTGTGTCTTGGAATAGTTTATTACACTGGACTAGGCCACAGGTACAACATCTTTCTCCTTGGTTAATGGACCTTGGAAATGTCCCATAACTGTATACCACTGCTATAATGAATGTAGGTAAGACCAGTGGTTTCTGCTGGGGTCCATAATTTTGTAAGAATTTGCAATGAGAGGAAAAGAACATTTATTGAATGTTCTTATATGTTCTAGGTATGGTTTTAGGTCCTTTTGAAGTATATTGCCTTATTTGATATTTTCCTTTTAAGATAAGTAATTTATAATAAATTGTAAAATTGAGTTTGATCCCTAGTCAGACCTAAAAGCCTTTCTTTGCGGATTG